CTACAGATGGTGATGGCATTGAGAGAAGGAGAGTCATTGTCCTTTGGGGACTTGATAGCAGGTTACACATACTCCAATAGGCAGATCTCCATCCATGGGTGTCTTCCTTAGGGTTTCTATTGCTGGGAAGAGACACCATGACCAGGGAAACTCTTACAAAAAAATTTTAATTGTGACTTGCTTACTGTTGAGAGCTTTAGTCCATTATCATAATGGCAGGAAACTTGGCAGCTTCCGTTCTCAGACAATGAGGATGGAACCTAAGGTTTATTGAATACCTGATGTCTGCAGGTTGTTCAGTTTAGTGGTTTTATGCAATACTTAAAAAAAAACAACTATATATAAGGTACTACTGTTTTTCTTTTATATGTGTGGAAACTGAGGCTCAGGAATGTGGTGATATTTTGTTGTACTCTAATAAATCTTGCCTGAAGATCAGAGGACAGAACTAGCCACAGAATCAGCCATAAAGGTCAGGCAGTGGTGGCACGCACCTTTAATCCTAGCACTCCAGAGGCAGAGATCCATCTGGGTCTTTGTGAGCTCAAAGCCACCCTGGCCTACAGGAGATTAATCCAGTCTAATAGAAATAGAGCCAGGCACTGGGGACTCAGTCCCGGCATTGAGATTTCATGCCTTTGCCACCAGTATTTGGAAAGCACACACGCCGTTAACCCCAGCACTAGGAAAGTTGAGAAATGATATGGCTGGGCAGAGAAAGGCATATAAGGATGGAGGAGACAGGAACTGAGAGCTTTTTGGCTGAGGGACTCAGGAGCATAAAGTCAGAGGATTTGTGGAGTTGATGAAGTGAGAAGTGGCTGTGGCTTGTTCCTTTGTGTCTCTGATCTTTCAGGCTTCACCCCAATATCTGGCTCCGGGTTTTTATTATAAGACCATTTAGGATTTGTGCAACACAGGAATGTTGAATAATAAGAGGCCATGCATGGTAGCAGGTGTCATGATTGCAATATTAAACTTGTTTCTTTTTCATGTTTATACTTCATTGGCTTGAGATTGTCCTTATTTTTGTAATAAAAATTGAATCTATCACATATAAGCTTAAAAAGATTTATTATATTTTTAAAATAATGTACATATATGTGTCTGTGTGAGAGTTTGTGTATGCATGAGCAAGGTGCTCACAGAATCTAGAAGAAGGCATCATTTGCCACCTCCCCCCCAACTGGTGTTACAGGCTGTTGAGAGTTAATCTGTGTGGGTGCTAGAAATCAAACTGAGTCCTCTGTAAGAGCAGTATGTGGGGGTTTTGTTTGTTTGTTTGAGACACAACCTCACTACATACCTTGTAAAACAACCATGAACTTTTAAATTTCCTTCCATATTAAAAGTATGCTAGGTTTTTGATGATTTTGAAATGATAAGGTTTTATAATCTTTGGGAACACAAAGGTGACACAGCTGGTCTTATTAAATCTGGGGTTATGAATGAGAACTTTCCATTATAGAGTCTTCCCCCATCCCCGCTTGTGTTCTGACATTTTCTTCTTTTTAAAAGAAAGAATGAAAGAATAGAAGGCTGTTTTCTTTGTAATGCACTCATTAAATAAGATCAAATACAGCACAACTTCACAAAAACATGGTGCCCAATGGACAACAATGAAAATTCTAAATGATTCTGTTGTCCTATGTAGTGTTCAGATTTGTTGGAATCCTCTTCTCTTGATCCGTTATTAAATCTTAACAGGACTTCCAACTTCTCTGTAAGTTAATGAGAGGTTCTCTGAGCACATTCATTCACAATAATAGTCTCTTTTCAGTAATTAACATCTTAAGACTTGTTAACAAGACTTCTTACTTCATGTTGCAAGTTTTTCCTCTTCCAGCACAGGCTTCCTATGAGCTGGAGACAGCAGGAAAGAAGGGACAGATGTGGACTCTAGCTATTCTCTCTTGCTTGCTCCCTTCCCCATACTGGGCTACGGCTTCTGACTCAGAAGTCAGATAGGTGATGACTTCTACCTAGTTTGGACATAACAGAAAGTGAGGAAAACAATCTTATTTAATAGCATACATAACATCTGGTTTTTACTCTCTGTTCACATGGCAGACGGTAAACACTGATCCTGAGAGTTTTCTGTGATATATCTACATTTCTACCTCTTGAGACTTTGCTTATGGTTTCCAGGGTGTCAGAATGTATGCCAAGAACCAGGGATACTGTCCCAGGTTTTTCTAGTGCTGTGAAGAGACACCATGACCACAGCAACTCTTATAAAGAAAACATTTAATTTGGGTGGCTTGCTTACAGGTTCAGAGGTTCAGTCCATTATCTTCATGGGGGAAATCATGGCAGCATGCAGGCAAACTTGGTACTCAATACATCTTGATATGCAGGCATCAAGAAGTAGACTGAGACAGCAGGTGGTATTTTGAGCATAGTGCACCCCAAAGCCTGCCCCCATCATGATACACTTCCTCAATAAGGCCATACCCACTCTAACAAAGCCACACCTCCTAATAATGCCACTCCATATGAGATTATGGGGAACAGTTACATTCAAATTATGTCATTCCACTTCCTAGCCCCCATTTAACTTGTAACAATACCATAATGCAAAGTGTATTTATCCAACTTCAAAAGTCCCCATAGTCTTTAACAGTCTCAACAATGTTTAGAAGCCCAAAGTTCAAAGTCTCTTCTGAGATATTCATGCAATCTCTGAACTATAATCCTCTATAAAAACAAAAATAAAAAACAGATCACATACTTCCAACATATAATGGCACAGGATATATATTACCATTCCAAAACATAGGGAAGGGAGCATACTGAAGAAATACTGGACCAAAGCAAGATTGAAAACCAGCTGGGGAAACTCCAAAGTCTGCATCTCCATGTCTCATGTTGAAAAGCTTTGAGAAGTTCAGATTTTCAGCTCTGTTCAGCTTTGTTGACTGCAGCACATTTCTTTCTCTTTGGCTTTTTCCACTCTCTGTTAGCAGCTTTCCTCAGCAGGTATCCCATGGCTCTGGAATCTCTAACATCTTGGGGTCGCCAAGGAAACCAAACAGTCACCTTCACAGCTTCACACAGTGGCCTCTCTGGGACTCCATACTGGAAAATTCCTGACATATGCCTGGCCCCAGAGGCCTTCTTTAGTCTCTGAGGAAGATTCCATAATCCCTTTCTTCTGTTCTTGACCCTAAAGCCAGAACCACATGAACAAAGCTACCAATTTCTGGTGGTTTCTGAGGCTGGAACATGGCCCCCTTGTTCAGTTACATCTTTCCCAGCTTTCCAGTTTTGATGGTTCCCTTCGATGCCTAAGCTTGACTGTCCTAGAACTTGCTGTGTAGACCAGGCTGGCCTCAAACTCAGAGAACTGCCACCCTGTAGATGTAACCAACCGTCTTATTAAATAAGAAACACAGAGCTGATTCAGAGAAGAAAGCCAAGAGGTCAGAACTAAAAGCCTTACCCTTCCTGCTTCAGCCAAGAGAGCTCTCCGAAAAAAGGAGCTACTTCCTGTGTGTTTGTCTTTATAAAGACTTTCGGTTCTGCCTTCTCATCGGTTGTAAACCCATGCCTCGTCACTGCCTATCTGTAAAGACTTCCAGGTGTTCTATGGTTGGGATTGAGATTAAAGGTGTGTGTCTCCAATGCTGGCTATATCCTTTTACACACAGAGATCTACCTAGTTCTGTCTACCAAGTGCTGGGATTAAAGGCATGCGCCACCACTGCCACGCTCTTGCTATGGCTCTAATAGCTCTGACCCCCGGGCAACTTTATTTATTAACATACAATTAAAATCACATTTCAGTACAAATAAAATACCACCATATTTCCCCTTTCCTATTTTAATAAAAAAGAAAAAAAGAAAAAGGTTATAACTAACCAAAGAAAAACTATATACAAAAGTACAATAACTATATACAATATATACAAGTAATGAATATCTAAACAATGTCTAGTCCATTTGTATTTGACAAATTCAGAGAAAATAATTTCATTATCTGTCCTATTTTGGTAAATCCAAAATGTATCTAATTCACTTTCTATCCTAATTGATCTTCAACTATAACTAACTAACCTTCAACTATAACTAACTAATATTCAAATATAACTTACTAATCTTCAACTCCCTCAGAGACCCAAGAAGGAAATAATATTAGCTAACAAAAATAAAAACAGGAAGTGCATGCAAGCAACTTCCAAAAAATTTGTGAGTTGACAGAAACAGCCAGCTGCCTGGACAGTCACCTGAGGTTTCTCCGCGGTGCTGGGGCATCATCTTCAGCCTATAGGCTTAGCGTATCCGACAGACTCATTTGTGAAGTAGGATGTACACAAGGTCAACAGTTCAACCTCACATTGGGTGAGAGCAGTCCATGTACCAGAAACACCTGAATTCCACTAGTGTCATGTCATGATTCAGGATTTTAAATTCTGGAAATTGTTGATGGTTTTTTAATTCAGCTGTCCATTCTTCTTGGCTGTGTATATATGGCTTCATCTCAGCATCCCGTTCTTCTCCACATCCCTCTATCAAATGCCAGTCTACTATTGAGAGGCGTGAGCTTAGTTACTCTTCAAGAATAACTGTTTCAGCTGCTGTTCCATTGCACATCAGAAGCCATCGGCCCACTGCCTGTTCATCTGCCTTCGAAGAAAAGGGTACTGTACCTTTTCCGAATTGTGAAGGCCACTTCAGGGATGGTGCCATATTGTCCTGCCCTCAGTAGATGCCTTTTGATAAAGCCATAACCTCACTTGTTTTGGCAAGAATCGGTAGTCCTTTGTTTCATGTCCTGTCTGTCCATTTTGTCAGCAGTTGATTCGATGATATTTTGTTGTCCAGTGGCTAACTTTTGCCACAATGAAAGTTAACTCCATATGCAGTTTCTTCAATGCCCATATTTTCTCTGAAGTAGATTGGTACTGCCAGAAGCCGACATGTCTCGAAAAAGAAAAATTTTCTAAGTTGCTGTGTAGACCAGGCTGGCCTCAAACTCAGAGAACTGCCACCCTCTGCCTTCTCAGTGTGGGGATTAAAGGCATGCCCCACGACATCCAGATCTAAGCTTTTCTTTAATTCCTTTCACAAGTTGGAAACTTAGTGGGATGGGCTCTTGTCATGGGATCCCCCCACCTATATTCCATTTCTTAATCTGTTTATCTCCTTGAACACAGGATTTAGTTCCACTCCACTTCCGGGTGCTCTTCTTCTCCTCAAAATTTATATATTTAATTTATCCTGCTTAGCTTGCTCCTTTTCATTATAAATCTTTATAAGCATGAACATTTTTAACCACATGGCAAGAGTCTATACTGGGCTGTTTTGAGATTTCTTCTGCCAAGAGAATTAATCCCTAACTCTTTGGATCAGGCACAAGGTAGCCACTTTCTTCACCAAAATACCACAAGAAAGATCTCTAGGCAGCGTGCTAGTTCTCCTCTGCAATCTCTTGAACAAGCCTCACATAGATCAAATCACGTTTAGCCCACGGTCTTCCAGGCTCCTACTAGTTTGGCACATAAAGCAGCACTTAGAGCATCCGACTGCTTTCCTAATCTCAAATCCCGTGGTCCATATTCCTTCAAACAAATGCATTGTCATGCATAGCACAGCAATAAACCAGTCCCTGGTACCAACTTCAGACTTGTTAGAGTTTTCTAATGCTGCAAAGAGACATCATGACCACAGCAATTCTTATAAAGAAAACATTTAACTGGGGTGGCTCACTTACAGTTTCAGAGATACAGTCCATTGTTATTGCGGTGGGGAGCATGGTGGCATGCAGGCAGATGTGGTGCTGGCTACATCTTGCTCTACAGGCCACAAGAAATTGACTGAGACACTCAGCAGCATCCTGAGCATTGGAACCCTCAAACCCTGCCCCCACAGTCAAACATTGCCTCCAACAAGGACATACCCACTCAGACAAGGCCACACCTGCTAATAGTGCCACTCCCTATGAGATTATGGGGGCCAATTACATTCAAACTACCAGAGATACTTATACAAACCTCTGCTAACCCTAAATACAATACAAAAGAGCACATTAGAATGCATAATTTCAACTACTAAACATTGGTCTGAGTATTTTGCTGGAGGTTGACATGGGAGGAGGGATGGAGGAAAACTGAATTTGATTATTCATATATTGAAATGTCATACTGAATTCTTTAATTTATATAATTTAATCATAGTAATAAAGAATAAAGTGTTTAAAAGAATAAAGAACTGATATGCAAACATTGAAAACACATTCAGTGAAAAGATTCAAATGTAAGTAGCCCATGTGTAAGAAACAAGTAAGACCTAGGGTGAAGAACCCTGGTCAGGAGTGATAAGCAACAGAATGACATAAATAAACCATAAATGGAGTGCGATAAGCTATGTGTGGAAGTGGGGATAAGACTAGAAACTTAGATGGAAAGGGGTATAAAAGAGGAAGCCTCAGACATGACCAACAGAGCTGGTCAGACCCTCTCCTGAGGGTACTCTCCTCCGCCAGAGACTGAGATCCTGTCCTCAGCACAGACGAGGTTGACCATCGGAAGGCTGACCCGAGATCCAGAGGAACAGATGTGGCGAGTTCGGACCTGTACACCCGGAGAAGTATACCCACTTCCACTTGGAAGATGGGATAAATATTGCTTGTAATCTTATTGTGTGAATAAATGAGTGTTATACCAAGTCTGAATCAAGAGTGATTATTCCTCCTCTGTAACTGGGGTATGTGTGCGCCACACCACCTATTATATAATTCTATTTGTAGGAAATGTCTATAGAGGTAGAAAGTGGATGAGAACTTAAGGCTCTAAAAACGGGAAATGAAAACCCACTGCTTAACATGTGTGCAGTTTCTTTTCAGGGTAATGACACTGTTCCAGAATATGGTAATGATGGTATTTGGGCAAATAGTAATGTATTAAATTTTAGGTTAATTTCATCTCAAGTAATCTTAGGAACAAAGAAAAATGAAAGTACATTTTTAGTTACAATAATCATTCAAAGTTCAACTTTTCAATTGTGTTTCACAGTCTCATATAGCAACTGCTACTGTTTGGGTTATTAAGTCTAATGTTCCTGTTGTTTTGTGTATGTTACAAATTCAATTAGCTGCTATATAGTGTGAACTTTTAACTCATGAATAGAAAACTATCTTGGGTTTTTTGGTCTAGTTAATTTTTGTTTGGTTTTGGCTGGAGTGGAACTCCCTATGTAGACCAGGCTGGAACTTCTGCCTCCTGAGGGCTGGGATTAAAGGTGTGTGCTACCATCCTCGGCCCTAATTCTTGAGATAAAAATGCCCACATGTGTAGTTGAAGACAGAGTAGGTGTGATTATCAAATTTATTTCCATTGAATCTCAGATATAGATTCAATGAAAGCTTGGAAAGAGAAACCAAAGGGGCATGGCATGTATAGTAGTCAGGCAATCTCTTGAACTTTAAACTTCCACATCACAGTATGAATTGGTTCGAAGATAAGAAGTAGAATAAATTCTCTCTTGTGGACAGGGCCGAATCTCTGTTTTTCCAGAGGCACACACAGCTGAGATCATGGCATTTGACGGCAGTTGGAAAGTAGACCGGAATGAGAACTATGATAAGTTCATGGAGAAAATGGGTAAGGACTGGATTCTACCTGGGCGGTTCATGTTTGCTTTCTTCTCTCTGTGTGTTCGGGAATGACTGGTGATGTGTAAGGCTCCAGGTATGATTGTACAGAGTCTGGAAATCCATGTCCACGTTTCCTGCTTTAGGAAGACACTTGTCCCCTAGGGCAAGTGTTAGAGTCCCTGTGTTTCCTTCCCTTGCCTGTTAATTACACCTATGTAACTGAAAACTGACATGTTCGTGTTCATTAGAAGAAAGACAATTGTAGTGAGTTATGATAATTTCCAGAGTTTAAAATAACACTGGATTATAGGAGGTAAAGGAACAAAGGACTTTTCATAAAGTAAGAATATAATTTTTATCAAAACTCAGCTTGAATAAACTCTATTTAATTCTTTTCTCTTTGTTATGTAACTTTAGGAATAACCACAAAAAGCTGTGTATTCTTTTTAGAGGTTTAATTTGACTATATTAAAAATGTCTACTAATATTCTGGCAACCTACACTAAAAGTTGGGCAAAAATGTATATCATTTCCCAAAATAAAATCTGCATAGTTATGTCTCATACTTTAGAGATTCCAAAGTTCAGTTTATAAAATTTGTACATTCATATTATAATGAATTTAATCATAAAATCTCTAATTTTTCTGGCTTGGGGCAATCAAAAATGCCACAAAAATAAATATAATTGTGAAACAAGGAAAGCATGGTGTTATATGCCTGTAATCTTAACACTTTTGAGAATTTTGAATTAAGGCTAGCCTGGCCTATGCAGCAAGTTTGGAGCCTGCCTGGGTTTCATACCAAGATCCAGTTTCAAATAACAGCCAAACAATAAATAAATTCACTTTGAAAGCAAAGTAGCGTTGGAAATGAATAAATATCCCGAACTGGACTTGTGTTCCTTTAATAAATGAATACCTCCCTTAATGCTTCATTTGACATTGCTGTAATTTGACTAAACACTGAAGCAAAAGTTTGTTAAGCTTGTTAAAATGACCCAGGGCTGAGGTGCTACAGTTTGCTGCTTCATTTACATTTTCTTAGTGTAGAAAAACTGTTTGAACCATTTCTCTGCATCTGCCAGAGCTTCCCCTTTCTCTAAAGGCATCTCAGTGTTGCTGTGCACACACGACACCATTTGCTCTTTCTTCTCCACCCACAAAATAAAGACGAGCAAACCAAAGCAGAGCTAGGAAAGGGAAACACTTTCTGTGGCATTTTCATTTCATGTTCCTCCCAATCTCTCCTCTTGCAGGCATTAACTTGGTGAAAAGGAAGCTTGCAGCTCATGACAATTTGAAATTGACCATTAGGCAAGAAGGCAATAAATTCACTATTAAAGAATCTTGCAGGTTTCGAACCATTGACGTTGTGTTTGAACTCGGTGTCGACTTTGACTATAGTCTAGCAGATGGAACAGAACTCAAAGTAAGACTTTGTTTTTTTTTTTTTTTAGCAATGTATTCTTCATTTTTTACAAATACAAAGTAGTTTATCTCATGGAATGGTTCAACTAATGCAAACTTCCTTCATTTATTGAAGAGGCCAACAAAGTCTGTTCATATTTTATTTTACAAACATCATTGACAAAGTGTTTAAATATAATATTTTGTTATGATATGCATCTATGAAAATGCTATGATGAGCAGATTCATAGTAATCCTCTTAAATGGACTGAGTACAAGGAAATCTAAAATTCTGTATTTTCAACTCTTCATGCTAGAAAACACAAGCTTTTAGTGATTATGATATTCAAACACAATAACTGTTTATAAATGTATATGGACAATAAACTGAGAAGTCAAAAATGTAATTGAATCACGAGAGCATAGCAAACACAAAACCTTGGGTTGTGTTTCTAGCACTGTATAAAACCTAGGCATGGTCACACATGCCCATAATTCCAGGACTCGGAAATTAGAGTCAATAGGATCATAAAGTCAAGCTTCTCCTCACATACAGAGTAAGTTTGAGGTCAGTGTGGGATACATGAGATCTCATCTCAATAAACATTGATTAAAAAATTAATGAATGGGTGAGTAATGAAATGTGAAAGTCTAATTCATGGTAGGTCATTAAGAATGTCCCTTTTGCCAACCATTAGGTGGAGCTCAGGGAATTCTGCAGTAGAGGGGGAAGGATAGTAGGAGCCAGAGGGGTCAAGGACACCACAAGAAAACCCACAGAATCAACTAACCTTGCCTCATTGGAGCTCACAGAGACAGAACTAACAACCAGGGAGGCTGCATGGGACTGACCTAGGACCTCTGCACATAGGTGACAGTTGTGTAGCTTCGTCTTCTTATGGGACTCCTAACAGTGGGAGCAGGGGCTGTCTCCAGCTCTTTCGCCTACTCTTGGGACTCATCTCCTAGTACTGGGTTGCCTTCTTCAGCCTTAATAAGAGGGGAGGTGCCTAGTCTTACTGCGACTTGATATGCCATGCTTGGTTGACATCAATGGGAGGCCTGCCCTTTTCTGAATAGAAACAGAGGAGAAGTGGATGCAGGGTTGGGGTGGGGGTGGCAGAGGGGAGGTGGGGTGGATCAGGAGGATCCAAGGTGGGGAATCTTTGGTCAGGATGTTAAAAAAAAAAAAAACCTGGTTGTTGGTGGCACATGCCATGAATCCCAGCACTTGGGAGTCAGAGGCAGGTGGATCTCTGAGTTTGATGGCAGCCTGGGCTACACAGTGAATTCCAGGATGGCCAGGGCTAAACAGAAACTTCTTTTGAAAAACTGAAAGAAAAAAAGGGTTTTTTGCCTCAGAGTTTTTTCTGGTCAAGTATGTTTGCAGTGACAAGTGTGTGTGTGTGTGTGTGTGTGTGTGTGTGTGTGTGTGTGTGTGTGTGTGTGTGTGTGTGTGTGTGTGTGCCCATGCCCACATGCACATGGAGAGGTCAGAGGAGGGCATCAAGTGCTCTGCTCCACTGCTGTACATCTCACTCCCTTGAAACAGGGTATCTTACTGAACCTGGAGGTAGGCTGGTGGCCACAAAGCCCCCATGAGCCTCCGGTCTCTACAGCATCAGTGTCACAGGCATATGTGAGCACACCTGGCTTTTCACATGGATTCTGGGAACTTGAATTCAGGTCCTCAGGCTTGTGTTGTAAGTTCTCTTAGCAGCTGAGCCATCTCCTCAGCCCTGCAATGACAGTTTAACTGCTGAATATTTTATCACTAATGTTATCACTACTCCTCTGCAGTAGAATTCAGCCTATAGCAATTGTCAGTGGAGTGGTACCTAGTAGTTCCCAGTACAGCTTTGACTCCCACAGCTCATGTCCAATCCTCTTTCTGACTTTTGAGGAATTGCTCTGTTGTTTCACAGTCTCTGTAGATGTAAAATGGAGGAAATGTATTACTTCATAGAGTGCATGGGATCACTGAGTGAAGATGTGGGTCTGTAAAACTGGAAATGGTGTTAGAGACATGCAAGACCATAAAAATGCTGCCTTGTTATTGTGATACAGGGGACCTGGAGCCTTGAGGGAAATAAACTTATTGGAAAATTCAAACGTGTTGATAATGGAAAGGAACTAATTGATATCTGTGAAATTTCTGGTAATGAACTAATTCAGGTAAGTTGTAAGAAAGATTTCTAACTACATTCCAAAGACAAAAGTGATTATGAACAAGAATTTTGTCACTGTGAGTAACTCCTTGTAGGGCTTTGAAAGAAAATGGCCCCCATATTGAGTGGCACTATTAAGAGGTATGGCTTTTTTGGTAGAGTATTATGACCTTATTGGAGGAAGTGTGTCACATGGGGGTGGGTTTGAGTTCTCTGATGCCCCAGCTATGCCCAGTGTAACACAGAGTCCACTTCTGTTGTCTGTGGATCAAGATGTTGAATTCTCATCTCCTTCTCTAGCACCATGTCTGCCTGCATACCTTCATGTCCCACCATGATGATAATGGAAACTCTGAAACACTTAAGTTAGCCCCAATTAAATGTTTCCTTTATAATAAATGCCATGGTCATGGTGTTCACAGCAATAAAGCCCTAAGACAATAGTTGGTACCAGGACTGGGGCATTGCTGTAATAGGACTGACCATGCTTTTGTTTGGAAGAATTTGGACTTTGGAAGTTTGGGTTAGGAGTGCAGTGGATGCTTTAAGTCCTGCTTAATGGGCTGTACAACTAGGAACCTGGAAGACAATAGTGATGAGGATAATTTGAATTGTGGGGGCCTAAGTCAAGCGCTTTTGGAGGAGAAGAATTTTAGTATGTTGGCTAGAGATCATTCTTGTGATATAATGGTGATGAATGTTACTGCTTCTTGCCTTGTTTGAAAAGTCTGGCTAAGACTAAAGTGAAGAGTTTTGGATTAATTTTCCACTGCCAGAGGAAATCTCAAGACAGCCTAGTATGGACTCTGTCTTACGGTTATTAGTGTTAGCTCTGATGAAGATTTATAACCCAAGAGAGCAAGATGAGCAGGTAAAAATACAAAACGAACAAACTGGGGAGAAAATGAGCACCAGGAGGAAAAATGGAGCTAAGTTCTGTGTTCAAAGAGATAAACAGATTCAGAAATGTAATAAAAGGAGTGGTGACCTCAGGGGAAGATCCCACCCAAACAAGTTTCCAAGTTGTAAAAAGGGATTAAAGAAAAGCTTAGCTCCAGTGTGGTGGTACATGCCTTTAATCACCATACCGGGAAGGCAGAGGCTGGCAGATTCCTGAGTTTGAGGCCAGCCTGGTCTACAGAGCAAGTTCTAGGACACCCAAGGTTAGGCAGTGAAGGAAACCATCAGAAACAGAAAGCTGGTGAAAATGTAAGTGAAGATCTCTGAGTTCACGGCAGTCTAGTCTACAGAGCAAGTTGTAGGACAAGACAGCCAAGCTTAAGCAGTGAAGGAAACCATCAAAATCAGAAAGCTCATGCAGATGCAACTGAACAAGGGGACCATGTTCCAGCCCCAGCAAGCAGCAGAATTTGGTAGCTTTGGCCACGTGGTTCTAGTTTTAGAGTCAAGAACAGAAGAAAAGGATAATGGAATCTTCCTCAGAGACTAATGAAAGCCTCAGGGGCCAGGCACGTGTCAGGAGTTTCCCAGCATGGAGTCCCAGAGAGACCATGTGTGAAGTTGTGAAAGTGACTATGTGGTTTCCCTGGAGACTACAAGATGTTAATGATGCCAGAGCCATGGAATTCTTGCCGAAGAGAGCTGCTAACAGGGATTGGAACCAGCCCAAGAAAAAGAAGTGTGTTGCAGTCAATAAAGCTAAACAGAGTTGGAGATTTGAAGAGGATTTTGACATTAGACATGGAGATGCAGAGTTTGGAGTTTGCGCAGCTGGTTTTCAGTCTTGCTTTGATCAAGTATTTCCCCATTATGGTCCCTTCCGTAGGTTTTGAAGGTGATGAATATCTGGTGCCATTATATGTTGGAAGTACGTGATCTGCTTTTTATTTTGATTTTACAGGCAATTACAGTTAAGAGATTGCACGAATCTCAGAAGAGACATTAAACTTTAGACTTTTAACTAAGTTTGAGACTGTTATAGTCTATGAGGATTTTTGAAGTTGGAATGAATGCGTTTTTGCATTGAGATATGGTTACAAGCTTATGGGAGCCAGGGAGTGAAACATGGTGGTTTGAAATAAAAAATGTCCCAAATAGGGAGTGTCACTATTAGGAGGTGTGGCTTTGTTGAAATATCTATGGCCTTGTTGGAGGAAGTATGTCACTCTTGAGGGGGGTAAGTTTGAGGTCTCCTATGCTCAAGCTATGCCCAGTGTGGCAGAGTCCATTTCTGCTGCCTAAGGCTCAAGATGTAGAACTCTCAACTATTCTCCAGCACCATGTATGCCTGCATGGTTCCAAATCTCACCATGATGGTAGTGGAAACTCTGAAACTGCAAGCTAGCTGCAATTAAATGTTTTCCTTTATAAGAGTTGCCATGGTCATAGTATCTCTTCACAGCAATAAAACCCTGAGACACAGCTTTAATAACTAAACTGTTACTCATTTCATATCTTTGTGTGACATTTATTTATTGAGGAGAGTAAACATCATATATACATAAATTAATTCCCATTCTAACAAAAAGACATAAATATCTACAACCCAAAATGTAATTTTAATGGTTCTATCCTATAGCTTCATAAACTGCTTCTATCAAATATAAGGACATGGTAGGACAGCCTCTAACAGTATTATTTTTCTTAATTTGGGATTTTATATTAATGGCACATTTTTTATGTTTGTTAACGTCTTTCAGACCTACATATATGAAGGAGTCGAAGCCAAGCGGATCTTTAAGAAGGAATAGGCAAGCTTCTTGGAGCCTAGAGCAACACTGAAGAGCTACACTGTTGACAGACTTTTCTCTCCATCGTGGTAATGCCAGGAAGATTCATCCTTTCATGAGCATTGCTAGATTTCCAGTCTTCTCATAGTCTAACATGGAAAAGCTAATTAGGACTTCTTCTGTTTATGTTCCTTAAGATGTACATGAACTGTTATTTTAAAAGAAAATAAATATTGTTCTCATATTGCTTTGTAAGTAGTGTTTCCTTTAAAAAAAAAAAGCTTTTTGGCACATGTATTGATGACTGTATTTTTTTTTGGTCTTTATTTTTTTCTTTCATTTTTCTTTATTAAGAAATTTTCTACTCACTCCACATACTATCCACAGATTCCCCCCTCCTCCCTCCTCCCACCCCCCATCCCTCTTTCCCAAGCCACCCTGCAATCCCACATCCCCCAAATTGAGGTCTCCCATGGGGAGTCAGCAGAGCCCAGCACACTGAGCCTAGGCAGGTCCAAGCCCCTTCCCACTGCACCAAGGCTGTGCAAGGTGTCACACCACAGGCACCAGATTCCCAGAAGCCTGCCCATGGACCAGGGACAGATCCCAATCCCCCTGCCTGGGTGCCCCCCAAACAGTTCGAGCCAAACAACTGTCTTCCGTATCCAGAGGGCCTAGTCCAGTCCCATGGGGGCTCCACAGCCACCAGTCCACAGTTCATGGGTTTCCACTAGTGTGGCTGGTGATGACTATATTTTAAATGTTTTATTTGTGTGTGGGTACTGAGTTGTAATTTTTTGAACAGTTTTGAATTGATGCATCACACATAAAACATCTTGAGTGATCCCTTATATGTAGTTGGTCCTCAAAAAATGTATAGAAGAGAATCATGTGTCCTTTATTCTACAGAAAATGGTCCAAGATGTAGATTGAAAACTTTCCTTTGAGTGAATGGAAATTCTCTTCAGTTCTCTGTCCCTGGGCCTGTGAGCGAGTCTTGCCATGCTAATGAGAACTCTTGGTTACGGCCCAGTCTTAGGCTAATTACTGTGAACTTGAGAAAGTCACTTCATCTCTTTGGGATGTAGTTCAGGCACCTTTAAAATGGGGTGATCAGACTGGATTTCTAAACTCCTCTCATAATATAACATAACATTATATATATATATATATATATATATATATATATACTAAAAACAACAGCCAGTAACTCTCCCTTTCTTAAGCAACCATCTGGGAATGTGCCACAGGGGAGAGAGTGTTTGGATGTTAGAGAGCATGGAGTGGGAGAGAGAAATATAATCCTACGCTGTTAAATATGGCTGCCTTCATGGGCTCACCATCCATTCTGGTTCAGAAATGCCCTATGTTTGTTTCAATGTCTTGCTGTTACTGTCCTAGATTCTCAATATCAAGGAGCCCTTGTATTTTCTTTTTCTTCCTTCCTTTCATATGTGTGTGTGTGTGTGTGTGTGTGTGTGTGTGTGTGTGTGTGTGTGTGTGTGTACATGTTTATGTATGTCTGTGTTCATGTACGGCCGTGCTTATACATGTGTGTGGGGGGTGTGTATGGAGGCCAGAAGTTGACACTGAATATCTTTATTGCTCTTCACCACATTTTGGGGTATGGGATCTCTTACTGAATCCAAAGCTCATCCATCAGTGATTCACAGGCCAGAAATCTCTGGGGACCCTCCTGTATCTACTGCCCGCTCAGCACTGGGGTTACAGACATGTACCACTATGCCCAGGTTTTATGTGGGTGCTAGGGATCACAACTCAGGCCCCCTCATTTGTTGTGAAAGCGCTTTACCCACTGAGCTATATCCGATATCAGTTCCCTTTATATTAATTCAGGCCCTGCACACTACTTAGCCAGTCCTATCTCTATAAGCTGATTGTTCATAAGTACAAAAAGTGTTCTCAAAAGAACAATGAGACAATGCCAGCAAGACATTCACAGGCACCTGAAGACCTAAATGTGTAGGTAAGGTAGCTGCTTGATATAGAATGGAAGCTAGAGGAGGTTTTGTGGGGATGGGAGGCAGGATGGATAGTCCAATTATGAAATGCGTGTTTACCTTATGTTGATACTTGCTTTCATTAGAGTATAGGAGTGCCACCTACTGGTCAAGGACATAGACTATTTCCATTTGTGTTTTGGAAAATTTGTGCTGCAAAGACATCTGACATACCGTGTTCTAAAGCTGAAAGTGATATTATATGCTTATATGGTTGCAAATTCCGTACAAACAAAACTAACATAGATGTTCATTTCTTCTTCCTGTAGAATCAATTCCCTAAAGCTGCTTTCATTTACTAAACAGAACCATCATTAACAGTTTATGAAGGGTTATCTTAGTTCTGAGTCAGAGTACCCAAAGTAGCACTACCATCTTGAAACGGGGGTAGTTACACCACGTTTGCTAACATACAGGGCAGTTTACATCTGCTTTGCTGGAGCCCAGCAGCTAACATTCGGGCTAGTGACACAATTGGCTTTATTGGAGAACTGAATGGAAGGGAAGAGTCAGCAAGAGAATGGCAGCTGAGAATATCAGGAGGCATGGAGCACATCAGGAGTCAAGGTAAGGAATCATTCCAGAGGGTGTCTCAGTTCACCTGTCCTCACGGAGGATTCCACTAGAGTACTGGGTTACAGAAGGCCCCCTGGCATAGAATCCAGATTCCCAAGAATCGGGCGGTGGTGGCGCACGCCTTTAATCCCAGCACTCGGGAGGCAGAGCCAGGCGGATCTCTGTGAGTTCGAGGCCAGCCTGGACTACCAAGTGAGTTCCAGGAAAGGCGCAAAGCTACACAGAGAAACCCTGTCTCGAAAAACCAAAAAAAAAAAAAAAAAAAAAAAAAATCTCAATCTGGTAGTCAGTGTCTAGGACTGTGAGAAGGTGGAAGATTAGTAGAAATCAGAAGGGAAATATTGTGGAATATTGTTTTAACTCTGTAAAGATATGTTAACATTTGTTTATGCTGCAGAATATTACTTTATGTAAAGATGTGTTATATTTGTTATGCTACATTTTTTAATGATGTAAGGATGAGTTATATTTGTTTGTGCTGCATTTGTTTATTATGTAAAGATGTGCTGCATTTGTTTTACCTTGCCTGCCTAAGGCACCTGATTGGTCTAATAAAAAGCTGAACTGCCAATAGCTAGGCAGGAGAGGGATAGGTGGGAATGGTGGACAGAGAGAATAAGTAAGAGGAGAAATCTAGGCTTCAGGCACAGGGGAGAAGAACAAAGAGAATGTGGAAAAAAAGAGGGACATGCCAGGACCATAAGCCAGGCAGCAGCCAGCCAGACATGGAGACATCAGGAAAGTAAGACATCCAGAAAGAAAGAAAGGGAAAAAGCCCTGAGGCAAAACATAGATAAAGAGAAAGAGATTAAAATAAGAGCTGCATTGATAACTAATCAGAAGTCTCATGTCTTGATTTGTTAGCTGGTTGGCGGACCAAAAAGAAGGCCTGCTCCAGGGAGATGCCTTAGTTCTCCTGAGTCTGAGCACTGCTTCAAGGCCATATCCTCAAGTCTTATTTCCAAACACATGCGCACTCACACACAAATACATGAACACACAAAGAGACACACTCACAGACAAAGACACACAGACACACACACCACTTACAAATTCCCTTAGTCTTAAAGAACAGACCTCTTTCTGAATTTAGAAGAACACTTCTTTGTGTAAAGGCGCACACGATTCACGCCACTCCTTGCTTCACATCTAGATAATGTAACAATAGTATTTGAACAAGGATGTTGAAGGGCATAAATGTGACACAGCACTTTTCTTCTTTATCAAATTATTTGAGCAGAAAGAATGAGTGAGCGCAGTTCACACTCCAGCCCAGAGAAGTGTTTGTCCTGTGTGCTCCGTAGCATAGCCTTTCACCTCTTTTTTTCCTGTTTATTTGTTTAGTTAATTTTTCACACAATGCATTTTGATCATGTTTTTGTCCTCTCCACTCCTCCCAGATCCTCCTTACCTCCCTACCCATGCAACTTTCTCTTTCAAAAAACCCCCAAACACCCTCCCATCCCTGCAAAACTACAGAACCAAAAGTCAAAATAAGCAAAAGACCAATAAAAATAATTTTAAAAACTGTGAAAACCACACTCACATGCAACACACACACACACACACACACACACACACACACACACACACACACGCCCATGGACTTTATTTTTTGTTGGCCAACTGCTCCTGGTCATGAAGTCTCCTTCGGTGTGTTTGATATGAGCAGTTAGCCTCCAGGGGAGAAAGCTGATTTCCCTTTGCCAGTGGGTATAAATTATCCTCTTGGTTATGGGTGGGACCCCATGTCCCCTTCTCCTCTCAGTGCTGGGACCCTCTGACTTCAACCTATGGCGGTCTTATGCATGCCATAGTCTGTGAGTTCAGATGTACTTCAGTTCCACTGAATCTAGAAGTTTTCCACTTCTTTGATTTTCTTTGATTCCCCTTCTGTAGCAGGAATCTTAGAGAGTCTTATTAATAAAATCAAACCTGAGCCAGGTATTGGGGTGAATACTGGAAGATCAGAGAGACAGAACAAGCCACAGCTAACCTCACCTGGCCAACTTCTCATCTGGTCTTGTTTCCTCAGACTGGAAGCCTCTGTGTCCTCATCCCAATGGCTCTCAGCTGAACTGTGCTGCTCAAAACCTAAAAGCTTAACCTGCCAAATGCTTAACTAGCCAAATGCTTCTAGTTTCTGGTCCTCACGCCTTATGTACCTTTCTGCTTTCTAGCACCACTCCCTGGGATTAAAGGCTTGCTTTCTGGGATTAAAGGTGTGATGAGTCACCATGCTTGGCTATATCCTTGAACACACGGATTTCTGCCTCTGGAATGCTAGGATTAAAAGCATGTGCTACCACTGCCTATCCTAAATATCTAGTGGCTTTTCTGTTCTCTGACCCCAGATAAGTTTAGTAGGGTACACAATACTTTGGGGAACACAATACCACCACACCCTTCCCCAAGCATGACCTGAAAATTCTTTTTCTTATTAGTACTTTGAAATTTTTGTGCAATTAATTTTGACCATATTCAACCCCTACCCAACTTCTCCCAGACCGAAGCCCTCTTCCTGACTTTGTGTCCTCTTAAAAACAAACAAAAAAGAACACAGTCCAAATTGTGGTGTCCATTTATTCTTGGATATGTGACTTACCTCCTTCGAGGAGCTATCATTTGCCCTTGGTTCCTTAACTGCAGATGGGACTTAATGCTCACGTCCATCTCCATGCTGGAATTTGTTGTGAATCATCACATAAAATTCAATACATTTTTAAAAAGGAAAATAAACAAAGTGATTTGTTTCATAAACGTGT